AAATGGCTTCATTCAAAGTTGCATACAGAATTTCCCAGTGTGAAAAACCACACGCAATTGCTGAGCAGCTCATTCTCCCTGCTGCTGCTGTAGACGTGTCGATTATGCTGGATGAGACAAGTGCTGCAAAAAGTGAAAACTATCCCTCTGTCAAACGATACAGTTGCAAGACAAGGCTAAGTTATAACACAATTGAACTTATATTTTATCTGTTTTGAACTTGGTGTTATTTGATATGAAAATAAATTTGAAATTTTTAAATTTTTTTGACAAGTGGGGCTTAAAAATTCGCCCACCCTCTTAGTGGGGAATGACAAAAATTGTTTGAGAACCACTGCACTACATAGAGATGTGTATTCTCACTATTGGTCTTTACTATAGCACCATACACTGCAAATTTGAAAGAGCAGGAATATCAGAGGAAAGTGGGCTGAATACATATGCACACCACACTTTTCAGATTTTTATTTGTAAAAAATCTTGACCACGTAATATTTTCCTTCCACTTCACAATGATGCGATACTTTGTGTTAGTCTATCACATAAAATCTCAATAAAATACATTTAAGTTTCTGGCTGTAATGTGACAAAATGTGGAAAAGCTCAAGGGGTATGAATACTTTTGCAAGGCATTGTACATCTCCAAGGAGATAAGCTAACACTGACATAACCAATTCTGTCAAATAACTCCAACACTGATTAACATTTTACATTGACTGTTAAAAATACTCTTTGGGAGTTGAACTCAACTTCGATGTATCACTATGAATTAACTTGTATCTACTATTCTAAGTGAAGCCATGCTATTATTCCATGCAACCAGAGGCAGTATAGATAATACCATTAAGGAAATGCTCATGATTTATTATTACACTTTCCTGGTGTTGTCTGTGCTGGGGGAGGGACGCCAGCACATTCTTGGGAACAGACATTATATGCTCTCCACTCGCCACCAGCCTCACATGAAAAGCTGCCCATTGTCTTCAGCAGCTGCTGTTTGATTCTCAACACCTCTACAGACATTCAAAGGTAAAATGATCTGTAGTAAGTTTTTCTTTTAGTTTCTAAGAGTGTTTTGTAAAATTATTAGCAATTTCTTTGTTTTGGTTATTGGAACTGAAAGTCTGAGGAAGTTACTTCAACATTACTTTTATTTACTTATAATGTTTCAGAATAATTCATCAAAATAACTGTTATTATAGACATAGAGCAATATATGTAGGTTAGAATACTAACAATTAGATATTTGTAAAAATATCTGCTTGAGAAGACTGATCTACTGAGTCTACTACCACTGTGCTTTCTGCCACTGCTGTTGTTCTGTATCTGTTACAGATTTTAACAAATCTGTTGAACCATATGACAAGAATGTGAGATAGTGCTGAATTTAGTGGAGCGAACTGCTACACTGTGGTTTAGTGAGGTGAAACATTACCTCCAAACTGTACTAATACACACCTCTGTTTTTCCATGTGTTTATTTTTGTGGGGAAAAAAACGTTTCCTCCTCTCTTCTATTTCTTAATGCTGCTGTCATGGTTCATATTTGCATCATCAGCTGCTCTAGATTTGAGGATGTACGTTCTCCTCTTAATTATATAATAAGCTTTTCTATTGCTCAGCTAAAAAATAATTATGATTCCCTTTAGCATTTTCAACTCTATTTGTCCCTGTTTGCTGTTTCAGGAGCCTGACAGACCCAGAGTGATGAATCCCAAAGGGGATAAGGTGAGCCTGGTATATTCCATAGTGTTATATTCCATTCCATGCATGGAGAGAGGTCACACTGTCCTCACTGCACAGGGAAAAGATCTGGCAGTGGTCCATGCTCAGTTGTCAGCATTGCTGAGAGCTTTTCCTTTAACTTCACCCTAATAATAAAACATTATCTTCTTATCTCATAAGTGAGTGCTCAACTCAGTGTCCAGAGTGACACTCACATGTTTTTCCATCCATATGCATATTCTTTGTGTAATGCATATTTTATGCTGGTCAGCTAAGTATGAACATCTGCCTTATTTCTATAAAAAAGCCCTGAATGGGCACCTTGCTGAATTTTATAAATGGTCAGTTTTGGTTGAAAGATATTGATGCACCTTAGTGTTTCTGCCTGTTTGATCAGATAGTTACAAGATTATATGGCAAAGTGTTCTTGCCCTCCCAGTCAATACCTGTTTAATTATGATTACTGACAATCATTTGTCTATTGTGTTGCAAAAGGAACTGACAAATACCTTTTTCTCACAGCCTAAGTGCAAAATTTCAGCTTCTCGCAAGCTCTCCCTAAAGGTAAGTATACAAGATGATATATCAGTGGTTCAGAAACTGGCCATTATTTAACACTATTTATTTTATAAACCACTAATGTGTTCATTCAGTTGAACACCAAGATTAAGTCAGTTTGGTAATTTGTACTACTACCACCACTTGGAAGAGCAAACATCAGAAATCTCAACTATTTATTCATTAGCACATTTAGCTAACTATGTAAATAGTAAACTGTGCGCTAAGACAGCTAGGCACAAGGACAGTTTGTTAAATTGTTTACTTGCCCACTGCTGCCTTACATAAGGATATGTACATACATATTGAGATCTGCTGTACCAGAGTCAAATTCCTTGTGTGTCCGAAGCACCTGGCCAGTAAAGTTGATTCTGATTCTGATTCTAAATGATTTATCTACTTTTAGCTATTTCAACTAATTATCGCTTTTAAACTAAGCATTTATCCAACATTTTGCTAAATATTGGAAGTGTTCAGTCTATTCAATACTTTTAGATAACTTTCAGCCATCTACTTACACTTATGCACAGCACATTTTTTTTATAATCAAAATAGTCTTTTCACTTACCCTCTGACTATCCCTGACTGAGAATCACTGCAATATATTCTGAATATATTCAGAGGTGTCTGTATATTTTTGTCCTGCCCATTGACATTGATGAGAGGCTCAGAATATTAGGAGCACCTCTGAATATAATGTAGTCCAGTACAACACCATCTTTAACTATGACCTCAATAATGAATATATAATTGAATTTATACATTTATGACAATCTCCCCAAAAACTGAAACATTTTGAGCTACATAAAAACAAATGTTAAGGCAGAAGTTTTGCACTGAAGTGCATATACAGTAGATGTACAGGTGATTGGTGTATTGTACGAGATAATGTAATACTGTGTATGTGGTAGGCTACCAACTATATTGTATGTGTAGACATCTTTTTGAAATAACAAAAATAAATTCAGTATATAGCAACATGGGCAAAATGGTTCTCCTCTGACTTCCCTGCTGTTTTTATAAACATCTGTTTTGTCCATTTAGATGCTTCTCCTAACAAGGGCCTGTGAGGATTTGGAGAGGGAGCAGCAAGAGAGGGAGGAAGAGAAGGCACGCTATCTAGGAGAGAAGATGCCTCCTTTGCAGTTGTCTGGATTGTCACTGGAGGAACTACAAGTAAGGGGTCATAAAAACACAGAACACTCTTTTTTGCTACAGTGGAAAATGTATGAGCAAATTTAAGTAATATTGTTAATAACTTCTTTTGTTTCTCAGAATCTCTGCAAGCAGCTTCATGCAAAAATTGACGCTGTGGATGAGGAGAGATATGACTATGAACACAAAGTGAACAAGCACAACAAAGATGTAAGTCTATCTGAGCCTCTTCCTGGACACAGCACATACTGTTTTTATTATCTAGTCAGTATGCAGTTTTTTTTAAAGCTTCCTTTTATGGCCTTAAAGCAGAGATTAAAACCTTGAGAACAAATTCTTTACTGAGTTGGTAAGATTTCCTTGAACTTTTGAACTTCTACTTTTGGTTCAAAACCATATTCTAGCAAAAATCTACTTGAAATTAATTATTGCAACAGTCTTAAACCTTAAAAAAGGCATAGTCAGTAAATGTAAGAACTTCTCAGAAGCATAAGCAATCTTCACATTTCTTGTGACACATTTTAGATCCACGAGCTGAAGCTTAAGGTACAGGACCTTGGAGGCAAATTCAAAAAACCTGCCCTGAGGAAGGTCAGGGTATCAGCAGATGAGATGATGAGCGCACTCCTGGGCTCCAAACACAAGAGCTCGATGGACCTCAGAGCTAACCTCAAGTCTGTGAAGAAGGAAGACGTCAAGCAGGACAAGGTAAGAGATCTTTACTGTGGTTCTCAAATGAATATGCCCACATATTCAGAAATATTGATTACCAGGGAAAGACAACATACCCATGGGTTTTTGATCAATTTTGATTCTTCTTCTTCATTCCCAGGTGCTTACTACTGAAGTGGGTGACTGGCGTAAGAACGTGGAGGCCATGTCAGGCATGGAAGGTCGCAAGAAGATGTTCGATACAGGCAGCACCGCACAGTGAGAGGCTGAAAAGGATGAAACTGATTAATTAAAAGCAGAGAAAAGGAAACTACCTTGACAGAAATAATTATCTGAAGGTGAATTAACTTGAAAGCTGTAAAAAGTAAACGTAAGGTCAAAAGCGGGTTCATTTCAAATTCATCCGCTGTGCCTCCATCATCTTGAGTTTCTGTGCAAAGACACAAAACACGAGTAGACACCTTTTTTTTAAACCAAAGATCACCTGTTTATTATGACATCTTTAGGAATGAACTGATATTTTTGTCAGTCCCTGATATTCCATATCAGTACGTGACATGGGCACCCCTTTGTTTATGTGAAGCATGTAAGAGGATGGAAAGCATGAACTAAGAAAGAAAGATCACAAGAAGGGCACATAACACATTACCTACACAAATGCAGCTTTATAATGTTTACATAAATCTTGTAGATATAGGAAAGTGAAAGAATACATTTAAACTTAAATCAATGTAATTCAAGTTGCAAATGACAAATAAACACTGATTTTTTTTTCTCCCAAAATTGGAACTTCAGATATCTGGAATAATCAATGTTCTGATTATTTATATATATACATGTATATAAAAATTGGCCTCTATTAAAGTAACTGCCAGTGGAGTGTTTTGGCTGTCATCAAAATGTAGTTTTTCCTAATTTAATCAATCAAAGATAGTGATTAAAGCAAATTTACTTGGGGGTTTAACAGAGATTCCTCTTGATAAGTTATATTTAAAGAACAGTAGATTGGTGATAGAAATAAACCAGAGGAGATGTGACTTTCCAGTAGATGGTGAGACTCTGAAACACCTTGGCCAAGTATTTTTAGCCATGATGCGCTCTTCTATAGCCTTTTAAAGCAAAGCAGGTATTGCTGTCATACAGTTCACATTGCGTGCATACATGCAATGTGTTTCTGACCTGCCTAGCCTCAAGACCTCTGGAAATGTGCTTCACTTAACACATCTTTTTATGGGCTGGTTATAGAAAGAAGCACAAACACATCTTCCCAGTGTGACAAAGCCCACATATATTTCTGATGTTTGCAGCATGATGAAATATCACAACCTTTCTCTGATTGACCTATCAAACATTATGAAATACAATACATGTTTTGTGTTTAGTCATGCTGACATTTGTGTGCACATTGAAAACCTAATACATAACCTCTTGTCTGCCCTTGCACTTTAGCAGGCTGATAATGAAAAGCAACCCACGTCTCTAGTAGCACTCTGTACTTATAAATAGGCACTGATGAGAGCAACCTTCACACAGAACAAATGTTCCAGATGTGATATCCAAAGTGCATTGATATCACACGATGGTGACTGTTATGATAAATGCAAAGGTCATGACTTGCATGAGACTTTCTGAGATGATGGAAAAAATGTCTTTCATCTCAAGGGTGGTCTGATGCGCTGAAACCAACACAGTCAGTACCAGCATTGCTCATGGGATGCACTTCATTGTTAGTGCCACTTGGTGGCAGTCCACAATTGCTGTAATAGATCCCCTGCTGTAAATTAAAAAAGGAACTGAATATGATGCACTCTTCTTTGAAAACTCACTGTCAGATTATGGATTGATAGTCAAATCTAACTTTATTTATATAGCCCAATATCACAAATGATACATTTGCCTCAAGATGCTTTAGCATGTATTTATGCCAGTATGCTTTGTTTTTATAGAAAAAGTTAAGGAGTAGGAACTGCAGCAAGTATGTTTGATTGTAGAAAAGCCCTGATCCAGAGCAAATTAGCAATGCCAGAAGAGGGTGTGTTGCCCAGCTTCGACCTGTTTTGGCAGCACCCGGAAGTTGCTTTATGCCTTCTCGGATCCATAATGTGATTTTGGGCTATGTAAATTAGACTGACCTGACTAAACTTAACAAAAAACACAAAAACTCTTTTCGAATATTCTTTTATTTTTTTACCATTATTTTGGAGAAAAAAAAAACAATATTTCCACAGGATGTAAGATGGAAGAAGTGGAGCCTGAAAATAACTAATCAAGGCTGTGGGTGTAAGAAGTGCCTGTTCATTTCATTCAGGAAAAAATAAAAATTTGATTTGGTCTGCAAATAAAACACTGAAGCAGTGTTTGCAGTGTATATGTGTGTGACCTGATGAGAAAGTGACTGATGACATCTTTAACATACAGCACAGGCAGTGTGTTTACTGCTGCAGTGACTGGGGGTGAGGGAGTGGGAGTGTACACTATTATAGGAGAGAACAGAAGGTGGCCTGGTGATTTGGCAGAACAGCCTATAAGTGGAAGCTCCAGGCTCAGTTGTTAATGATGCGATTGCAAGAAGTCATGTGTTTTATCAAAATGTCCTTCAGTAAACAGTAAGACAGTAAAATGAAAAAGCATGCATGCTGCTGCTGCTTTCACCAGCAGGACACTGGTGACACTGATGGTTTTGCCAGTGTGGTGAGGTTCCAACACATCTTAACAAGAGAAGGATGTTGGAATTAATTTCACTACCTTGGAAATGTATGTGGTCATCTGTAATGCGAGGGATTTGTGGGGGAAGATGCAGCAACCTTGGAGCTACTTGAAAGGGAATGATCTTTCCACTACTTGGTGGGACTTAACAGTTTAAAAAAAAAATCACACGTTGCATGTTTATTAGCATGTTGTTTTTATATATATTGAATTGTTGTAAGCGCAGTGGTTAGCGCTGTTGCCTCACAGCGAGAAGGTTCCGGGTCTGAGCCCTGGCCGACCCGGGGCCTTTCTGTGCGGAGTTTGCATGTTCTCCCTGTGCTTCTCTCCGGCTGCTCCGGCTTCCTCCCACAGTCCAAAGACCTGCAGCATAGGTTGGTGTCTCTAAATTGCCGATAGGAGTGCGTGTGTGTGGTTGTTCGTCTATGTGTTAGCCCTGCGATGGATTGGCAACCTGTCCAGGGTGTCCCCCGCCTCTCACCCGCAGCTGGCTGGGATTGGCTCCAGCCCCCCGTGACCCCGTTTGGGACTCAGCGGTTTAGAAAATGGATGGATGGATGAATTGTTGTAAGGCTGGAGAAGTTATGTCTGCATTATGCCAGGTAAAATATGGGGTTTCTCAATTACCTACTTTGTTTAGAGTTGTTACACATGTCTTTTCATATATCATTGTTTACCTGTTTATGGAGGTGTAATGTGAGATGTGTTTCTCCTGTTTAAAACTTGGTTTCATGTTGTACCCCCCTTAGTTGTTGTGGTTAGGATTCAGGTTAGGGGAAACACATCTTGTTTTCAGGAGGATGCTCTCGGGTTTTATCATTCTGAAATAATTAGAGTGTTTGGAATTTTGAGGGGTGAAAAGCTAATCTAGAGGTAGCCGAGATTAAACATTAAACGGCTGGAAATAAACATGCCATGGGCACTTTACTGAGGGAATGAGGAGATGTGTAGCCAGGTGGGCGCTAAGGTAGCTGGCAAGGACAAGTGATGGGGAAACAATGGTCAGGAAAGTTCCACTAAGACTACAGAAGAATTAGCAGGAGTAAGGAGGAGGGATGTCGAGCTTTTACATAGCACAGTAAAAAACGCAACAAGTACATTGCTGTTTGTGGAGTTAAGGGAGTAGTTTATCCATTTACTTTCCCATGTACACATTCCCTTGCTGTTTTGAGACTACAAATTGGTGAACTTCCAGTGACAAGCTGTGACCTCTGGCCCTGTGCTGCACTAAGTAGATACTGTACATTATGTGTTTATAGCTTTCTGTGGTGATGTGACAATCAGCTTTAGGCAAATCCCATTTCTTTTCTGAATTATAATCTATATTTGGAGGTAATGACACAGGAAATAAGATTTTGACGGGTGGATTCAAGGGTTTAAACAGAAAGAAACACATATTCATGTGTACGCATATACACACACACACACACACACACACACACACACATGCAATACACTACTGGTATGTCCCTTTCAATCAAACACTGTTAAATGGATTCAGAGTGAGGGGTGAACCTCTTTTCAACCTCTATAAAACATCCACAGGCATAAAATTGAAATAACGGATAAGGATTTATGAAGACATAAATTTGTTATTCATTGCTAGTTAATTTGACCCAGCCGAGGTTGAGAATTAACTTCGCTTCACTTGTACTCAAACTACAAGTTGCCTAATGGGCTTGACTCATTTCATTAAATGTATTCTAGCTGAACTTTATCTATCGGTAAATTTTTATTAGGTAGTGATGCACCAGCGCTCCTCATACTTGAACATCCACAATATAATGGCTTCTAAAGTGATATGTAGAAGGTGTGCTTACAATTTGACAGTTATTTGATTCTGAGAAAAGCATTTTTGCTTTAACTGTAAATAGCTGAATTTTACATAGTGTTATCTCTGATGTCCCAATTCAGGCCTTTCTATTGCCATTCTTAATAGTTCTTTTCTTTCCTCTTTTTTTGGTTTGGCCATTACAGGGCAGTGACACTAACTGTAAACATAAAGTTGACATTAATACCTTGTAAAGTTGATATGGCTAACATGTTAGCAAACAGTGCCTTATTAACATATACACCAGTTGCAACGTTAGCATTCATTTGGTAATCATTCATTCATTTTGGACACCTAACACATTAAATCCAATATTCACTCTACTTCAAGCTCTGTTATTGTCTTCACCGACTACTCAGGTAAAATATTTGGCTAGCTAGTCGCTATCTTTGTCAGTTGGTGTAGGATACATTGGGTTAGCAGCAAGAAACTAGCCATTGTGGCTGGAAACAAGGTTGATGACATAAACATTCATTTAAACCATAATTTTTTATATAAAAATAGTGATTAGTGCTGTTTTAATTTAATCCCACAATGACTTCACACAGAAGTAGAATGGGAGGCAGAGCCTTTAGCTATCAAGCTCCTCTCCCATGGAACCAACTCCCAGTCTCAGTTCAGGAGGCAGACACCCTCTCTACCTTTAAGATTAGACTTTCCTTTTTGATAAAGCTTATAGTTAGGGTGGATCAGGTGACCCTGAGCCTTCCCTTAGTCATGCTGCT